GTTAAAAATCCTTTTCAAGTACCTTTAAAGAAGTTGCAGATCAGATAAACACATAATGGAATTTCTTTTGCAACAGAAATTTAAAAATTACGTATAGTAAAATAGCTATGTGAGTTAATTTTAGCCTTCCTGAATAGGATATTCTTTTCTCTTAGGATACTGTTATATTAGAAATATGTTATATAGTTATTTTGAAAACAGTTTCAAGAAAATTTGTAACTGCCTAAGCCGTTTATTTAAAATGTCTTCATAATGGCCAAATCCAATGGACACTTTTTGGATCCTTCTTTGGCACTTGGCACTACTGACCTCTTCTGCTTCTGGTGGAAATTTTCCCTTCCCTCTTACCTTAGCTTCCGTACCATGATTCACGATGGCTTTCCTGTTGTTTCTCTGACTGCCACTTCTCAGTATGCTTTTGTTAAATGGTCTTTTCTTTTGACCCGCGTTTGAAATGTTATTGTTTCCTTGCATTCCTCAAATATGGGATGATTCTATGTCTATGTTACTCCCCTTGGTAAAACCTCCAAGAGCTCTGCTTCCTAAGCACAAGGGTGGCAAACTCAGACGCCTTCAGGAGCAGATAATGTAAATAAATGAAGAGATCTGGGTATTTTTAAAAAGCGTAGAACATAGACAGGGATTTTTTAAAAACAAGAAAGAACATACCTCATCTAAAGCTGTTTCCACTTTGCCCCAGCCTCAGTTGGTATGAAGACCAAGTGTTCATTCTTTCACTCACCAAATACTGATACAGGATTTACCATGTGCCTCGGATGTTTGTGCTAGGCATTAGACAATAAATTAAACAAAGATACTTCTCTCCTAGAGCTGCCATCAGTTCTAGAGATGAGCCCTCACGAAGTCACACTAAAGCTAATGATGTTTAGTATTTACAGATCTTCCAATTTATTTTAAGCCATACACTCAGGTTTTCTGTGAAATTTCATTTTTTAAAATGTTGACTTCAATTTTTTTCAAGAGACATAGGGCTCATTAAAACTATTCCTACCTATTTGCAACATTGGCCTACAAAATAATATTCTAATGTCTTACTCTGAAATACCAAGACTTTCTCACTTACATCTGTTTTTCCTACCTTTTTTGTTTTCCATCCTTTATTGACAATCAACCATGCCTAGCCCCTTTGTCATTCTGTTACATTGTACATATTGTACTTCTGGCCAGAATACGTTTCCATTTCCCTCCCCTTTTCACTCTTGGTCGGTCAGTACTCAGACAGCCCTAATGTCAAGTCCTGTGTAAGCCAACCTTTATCTCACTGTATAGAATTACTGTCTTTTCCAGTATTCCACGGTATTTCTTACATACTCTCATTAGAGCACTTACCGGAGTGTTTTGTGGACCCAGAACCCAAAGAAGCTGTAGTTTCATGTTTGTATCGTGAGACTCTAGCCCAGCAGTTTGCTCCAATTCAGTGCTTCATAAATACTAGTGGAAGGAGTGGTGGCAACCCACATCAGATAGGCTTACCTCCCAAGCACACAACAAACAGATACTCTATAAATAGGAGCTTTGTTTCACATGTAGACAGTCTTGATGTAAAAATTATCATCTGATAAAAAAGATAGTTATCAACTTTTGTACCACATACAGCTGAAGTACCTACTTCGGTCTGCTCTGCTCCTCCCTCACTCCCCCCACCTCTTCCCCATCCCCCACACACATACACCAAAACTCCTGGCCGGTTATACTGGCTGGTTTATGCACTTATAATTTATAACCCTGAACTTGTCATATGATATAGCAAAAATATCTCCTCTTTGTATGTGGGTTTTCTTACTTACTGCTTTCAAACTCCCAATGTTATGTTAAAAGGTAGGTGTGTGGGGGTGGGAGGGATGCAGGGCAGAGATGGGGACAAAGTTTCTTGAGTGGCAGCTCTGTGCCGACAGTGTTTCAGCCACTGCACATGATGTCCTGTCCTGTGTTTCTTAAAATATCCCTGTGAGTGAGGTAGCATTATCTTCAATTTACCAACAAGGAAAATGAGGCTAAAACAGCTTAAGTTACATGCCATGAGAGAGTTTTGCACACTAACTGAGGAGGACGATTTCTAAGTATAATTTTTTCACTATATACTTTGTCCTTTTTCAACAAATTTTTCTCTTCTGTAAATTTAATAGTACGTAAAATATATTATATTTGGTTCTCTGGT